TAGTTTCTAAGAGTTCTTCTAGGTGGATTTCAATCTGGATTTTGATTTAGATTTAGATTTGGATTTGGATTCAGATTTGCTCCGTCTTCTGTCATATCTTATATAATTGGGTCCGGTAAATTAAGTGTGGAAGGAGAGTTAACTGATTCTCCTGTGGCTTGTTCTTGAGTTTCCCTTCTTCTTCTACCTTGGTTCCTCCGAGTGATGTTTTCAATCTCCGGATTAAATTCTAACTGCTCTGAAGATACTTGTCCTCTTAAACGCATAAATCAAAAGAGTAACTCAAGCATAGATTAGCACAAGATAATAATAAATTGAAAAATAAAGCAAAAAACAGAAATAAAAATAAAATATTCAATAAGATAAACAAAGAATTCTCAAAGAACATCGTTCCCAAGCAACGGCGCCGAAATACTTGTTGAATTATTGGCAAGCGTACCAAAATTATCAATCGCAGTATAGTATTTCGATTAAATAAAAGTGGATCCCATGAGGAACAGTTTCAATGGAAATTCCTAATTATATGCTTACTAAGTGGATTAAAACAAATAGGGTTTTGCAATAAGAATTGAATTGAAATTAAATGATAAAGAACTATAAATTGTTGAGAAAATATCAATTAAAGGACTTAGGATTGGTTTCCTTCCTTATCCCTCTTTTGTAATGGTTATGTCAATTAAGAACATCAATTAACCTAACAATGTTGATGTCACCTACTCAAATCATCCATGTTGATAACTCACATGAAATTCATAAGAAAACCTAATAAATGTTGATTCCTCACACAATTAAGAGATTTTCTAGCATTAGGCTTAGGGTGTTGAGCAATTGATACATTCATTTCATTCTTGGCAATTAATGTAACAAATATTCTTACCGTAATCTAGGGTTCAAGATATATTTTTCAATCATATCCCAAACATCAAGAATAAATCATTCCAAAGCACAAAGGATAAGAATAATAACATCAAAACATAGATTAATATCTCAAAATATCATCATGATACAAAAGAGTTCAAAGAAAGTGCACCAAATTCCAAGATAATGAAGTTAGTCACTCATGCTGGCCATTACAATGTTCCAAATGAGGAAGAAGTGAAGAATTGATGAAGATTGGACGAAACCATAGCATTAATCGCGCCTCTTCTCTCCAAAATCGCTTGTTTTTCTCAAAACACATCTTATCTTTTATAGAAAAAATTGATCTCGCGTCTTTCGCTCAAGCGACAACTTTCGCTCAAGCGAAAGTTTCCTATTTTCGCTCAAGCGACAAAACGCTCGCTTGAGCAAGTGAACTCTAGAGAAGAATAACTAACATTCGCTCAAGCGAATTTTCTTGCGCTTAAGTGACTGACTTCCAGAGAAGAATAACTGATATTCGCTCAAGCTAGAGTCCATCCCGTTCGAGCAACTTCCATGCTGAAAAATATTCTTCCTTCTTCCAGTTTTACTCCAATTATGCTGACAATTATGCTCCTTACTCTTGTATCAAGGTATTCTCGAATTTATCCTATATTGGGAGAAAAGTATATTAGAATTAACATAAGTTAAGTGCTTTCATAACAATTCAAGGCATAATTATATCAACTTTTTACTACTTAACATCGATCCATCCAAAAATCTAGGAACACGAGATCTAAATCCAACCATATATGCAAACATGAGTGACTCCCAAAGATATGTATACTTAGTTTGTTAGTCTTTTAATTATGTTAATTTCTTTATAAGTAATTTGTTTGTCATATAATGTAGGTTCCATTGCCAGTTGATTATAATCATCCCAAGAGATTATATAATAATGTGGTTTTATTGGTTGCACTGAATACCCAACAAAGAAATCAAAAGCCTATTACAAGAATAATTTTATTTTTCTTTGTTAAGTTTTAAAAATCTAAATATATATTAATTAATATTTGTCTTTATTTTAACTAGAGTTGTCTTTAGAAGTAACATCTTAAATAAAAGAAGCACATCAAAAGATTTACACTACATTTATCCTAAGATTGGAAAATTATTAAGGTCATTTATTGTTATACAAACTTTGAAAACAACATTGTGTTTTATTTATCATTTCAATATAATAAGCAAACAAACTCGTTTTAATGTGATTACTAGTCATATACTGTATGAAAACCATTATTTGTACGAGTATTATTGATTCTAAGAAGGATAATTCATTTTAATATTAATTAAATTTATTTTGTTTTTATAAGTATTTTATGTTAACGATACTTAAATTATTGTTTTAGATATTTTAATATCCATCACCATTATTTAAACATGATATTTTACAAATAAATAAGCAATGTGCCCGGGTTTTTTATGGAAAATTTATACTACCTATTAACTTTAGTCTTAACTGAATTTAGTACATATTTAAAGTTTTTGTAAGTTAGTTTGATACATATTGATATACTTTAATGATTATATATAATTTAATTGTACTTTAGATGGACGGGTCTGAATATGATTGTTTCTTATACAAATTTAGATTATGAACAAAAAAGTAGAATTGCATATAAAAAAAATATCAAAATTTACATTGGATAATGCATTACTTGACGTAAATTTATGTTGAATCATACACTATCTGACATAAATTTACATCTATTATGGGTAGGTTTGACATAAATTAAGTTTGACATAAATTTACATTGAATAGTACACTACCTTACCTAAATTTTGATGATTTTGTTAAATTTTTATCAAACTCTTTTATGATTGTTCTTTTACAAAAATGATGTAATTTTACATTAGTATTTAGTTAATTCAACATAAATTTATATAAGTTAAAATCTTCGACATAAATTTATGTTTCCCACATTCATGTCGACTTTTAATCTAACATAAAAGGTCAAAAATAGCATAGTAAAAAAAATCATATATGCACTAATGTTAACATCGATACTAGATTTAATTAAGAGAGGCAAAATAATCATATAAAATAATATGATTTTACCTTCAATCTAAATCCTTAAGACAATAAATTTGTGTGGATATTTCTTACTTATATATTATTCAACTTCATTATTTTTACCAAGTATTATATTCTAACTCACACTTGAATTCTAACACTCCCCTCAAGTGTGATTTCCTATACATAAGAACACTCTTCCCCTTAACGAAACATTTATGTATAATGAGTACCTTCAATAATAACCTTTACTAGAGATATATATTTTTAAAAGGAACCGTTACTAGTTATTCTATTTATCTTAACATAACACATTTGCAAAACAGTAACACTCACTTATACTCGACTGAACCGATCACTAAAACTCTCATTTATACTTGACTGAGTCGATCACCATACTAACCAAACTCTAATATTATTGTTAGCATTTTTTTTAAAGATTAATACAACTAATGAAAGTTTAACCAAGAGAGACAAGATAACTATATAAACAAATATGACTCCATCTTGAATCTAAAACTTCAATACAATAGATTTTTTAAAATTATTTTTAATCTTTTTCACAACTTATATATTATTTTTTTCACAACTTATATATTATTTTTATTTAATATGATATTTCAACTCTCACTTCACTTATTTTCTTTTTCAAATTTTGTTAATTTTCACAGCCCAAATGTCCCCCCGTAGCATGACTAAGTTTAACCTACCTTTATTCAAATTTTATGCCCACATTTTAATAAATAGAAAATAGAATACTAAAGACAATATTTTTCTGTCTTTTGATAGGGTTCATCATTTAGAAGGGTTCACGCTGTCACAATTGGCATTCTTAATTATCTATATCATTCTTGTGCACATATAGGAGAAACGGACTAGGTACTACCCGTGTTTAATGTAAAAGAAAAAGTGATAATTGAATGGATTTGATATCTAATAATGGGGAATCAATCACCTAAAGAAATAATAAAATCCAATAACTAAATATAATCAATAGGATTAGGACAAACTAGTTTTAATCATATTTCAATTACAGCCGAATCTAGAGTTATTTAGACTTGAAACTAGGGGCATCCAAAATCATGCATGGTCAATGAAATTAGAAAGATAACAAGCATCTTTGCTAAAATGCCTCCAATAATCATAGAAATTATGGTGTCAACGCTTGATATCAATCCCTAGTCCTCACACAAACATCAAATCAACCTTTGCCACAAGGTGCCTACACATGGAAAAGGACTTTTATCCGTAGTTTCAAGCTTAAACTCTTTACTATACCTTGAGCATCCACATCCTCCATAACTTTAATTATGATCTCAAAAAAGACAAAAAAGTAAACCACCGTTTATTTATTGTTTCAACGGTTATAGCGAACTTTTTTTTCCATTATTCAGAATTGCAGACTTGTGTCATAATCAACAATTCGATCATTTGACAATACAGAGAAAAAAATAGCATGGTCCCAAGTTAGATTTGCAACAAGTAATAAATGAAATTGTTATCAGGCTATATACTGCTTTCGAGGCTAGGGAAAGCTCAAAATACACAGTCCAAGAATTCAAATGAGAATTTGATCGCTAAATAAATTACCCAAATTTAATAAACAACTATGGGGATTATTCCATCCTTCAAACTAAGAAAATTTATGAAAATCAAATATCTAGCTGTGTGTTCTTTAAGAAAAAAAAAACATCAAATAAACAACACCAGTAACCTACATTTGTGTTGAGACTTCAATTATTTAACCTATTCCTGTGATACATGATACCAAGCTTTGAAAATTTTCATGTAAACGTAAATGGGGGAAGATACCAATTTCAATGGAACAAAATGGAAACTGAAATTTTGAACATAAAAATAAAGGACTGAAGAGCCTCCTTCCTGGAAAACTTATCAGCCAATGTTGAGAAATATGTGAATCTCCTCCCCATCCTCCCCCACCTTGGAAAGGAAAATATCATAGAAAAAGAAGGGGGAAAGTACCAATTAGCAAGAATATTGTGTCAATGGATGAATCAATGTTGAGCAACTCATTGGATTTGATGTATGAAAATGTGTTTTGTTGAGACCTTCCCAATTGAATTCTTCAGCATCCCATCACAGCACAATTATAGACAAAGTTGCCAGAGCGTTTTCTGTCAAGTAGAATCCACTGTAGAGGTCCTTCACCAGGCACACATGAATTGAGTTCAATATAACCCTCACCATGAGTCCTTAGACCTCCAATCACAATTAGCTTATCACCACATGCCCTGAATGCAAGACCCCAACCATTCATCGACACTGCTCGCTCAGGCAGTCTCCCAACGGTATGCCACAATCTTCTCTCTTTATTGTATTTTTTTACCTCCATGTCAGCATAATCAGCAGCATATAATTCATTATTTACAACCGCAACCAGAGGTGGTGCCTCCACGGTCGCAGGCATGTCAGAGGTAGCTCTGCTGCGTCCAGGAGACATGTTAGGAATTTCTGTCCATGTTCTAGTTTGTAAATTGTATTCCTCACCACATGTAAGAAGCTTAGAATCTTTTCCACCAATTCCCCCAATAACATAAAACTTTCCATCCATAAATACCCCAGAGCACATCTTCCTGGGCTTATTCATGCTAGGGAGTACTTCCCAGCTTTGATTCTCAGAATTGTACAGTTCAGCTGAGTCAAGGATACGACCATCCGAATCACAGCCACCAGCCAAAATAGCAATCTCCCCAAGGCTGGCAGATCCAAACAAGCATCTTGGAGCATTCATCCTCATTCCAGATGACCATGAGTTAGTCAGAAGACTGTATCTGTAAATGACATGAGATATCAGATCCCTGCCAAATACAATAAGTTCAGTACCTACAGCTAAAGACTCCTTATCTGCACACATGAAGCATTCATTAGAAGCCATCCTTGGTAAATGCATCCACCTTTGGCGGATTGGATCATAGGCCTCCCATTCGAGGAGGGCACAGGAAAAATAAATCCAGTGCTCTACTATGCCACTCAGTCTCCTCCACCTATACAGCTCACCACTTCGGATTGTGTTCCGAAAGCTCCTATTAAGTGAGGCCAGAGAACCATAATCGGACCTCGAACAGCGGCTGAGACAGGCTATTGAGCTGTCCCTGTTCATTCGGGGCAAAAGAGAACCGGAATCCGATGAATCACCACCATGACGCTCTTCCTGCTCATCAGGGGCCTCCTGCTCCATTTGCTGTTCAACAGATTGCTGACCACTGGAATCTGATGAATCCCCGGACTGATCCTCCTCCTGGTTATTAGATTGAAGGTAACTGGACAGCACCAATGAATTCCCAGCTCGGTTATGCTCATCTTCATCCAGTAACTGGATAGAAAATGTTTCAGCCTTTTCAACTCCTTGGAAATTACTCAAAGACACGCAATTCTTGCTCTGATCCTCATCGATTTGTGGAAGAACAAAATCATCAGCGTGACAGGATTGCTGTTGAAAAAGAAATTGGGTTGTCTCGCCTTGATGGCAAGGATCCACTCTCCTATTAATCTTCCTCGGTTGAGGTTCTTCTTCGTCATCGACATCTTTAGGGCGCTTGCCATTCTTTGTGTCCAAGTCCGGCAGGTATGTCATGAAAGACCAGTTGGTATCTGCCTGACAAGAACTGGGAAACAACCTCGGTAGCACGCAGGAGCGACCTTCCAACATAGTCTCCACGACAAGAGGCAAAAGCAGCAGCAAAAACAACTAGCACGCAACCTTCGATCAGATGCCTTCTTCTATCTTTGTGGAAGGGTCGATTTCAACACTGCAGATATGATTAATGAACGGCACCCTAACAGCGCCAGAGAACCACCTTCAATTAAGAGCCTGTGCAAAAAGGAATCAATCAATCTCAATTACAAGTTCCATGTCCTTCTCTCTCTTTCTCTCTCTATTCAAAATCATTCTCAGGAAGAAGGATTCTATTACAGATCGGAATCCACTCAAGGTCAAATTTCTTTCCATGAAACTCTGAATACAGAAAAAGGAAAATTGTCCCCTCAGAAACCAAATACACAAAGAGAGATCCCAATAATAAGAACACCATAAATAACAGGGAACTTCAATTGAACGTTTATGGAATCTAACAAGACACAGGTAATGAGTCCAACATTCTCATAATCAAATAAAAAAGAAATAAACAAAACCCGTTAATCACTATCCCCAGGATTTAACCAGAAACAAAATTTAGTTAGATCTCTACAAATCTACAATCTTCACAGATTCCCAACAACATAGCAAACTAATCACCTCATTCATATGAAAGATGAAAAATCGTATAGAAAAAGAGAGTGAAGAGATACAGAGAGAGAGAGAGAGAGAGAGAGAGAGAGAGAGAATGATGCAAAAACTTACAGGTTGGATAAGAAGCAAAATTGAAAATACAACAAAAATACTTGATGGGCAGATTTTGCAAAATTGAAGAACAATCTTCAACTCCTTCTTTCTCTAATCTCAAACTCGCTGTTTTGCATGTACCCACCACACGCGCACAATCACAAACACATAAGAAAAAAAAAAAGAGAGAGAGAAAGACTCACTTTCTCTCTCTACCCAGTTCTCAGTCGTTCTTTGGTTTAGGCTGGTCCTTTCTTGGGTTAGTGTCTGCAAATCAGATGAAGGGAAGGTTTTGGAGGAAAATCTGGGAGAGGACCCCTCACATGGCCTTATCACCCTTAAATCATATCTTAATTTATAATTAAATAATTCCTTAATTCATTTCTTTCCCATCACCATTAATTAACTAATTAATAGATTAATTAACATGGTTCTGTGTGTCATTTTCTTTTTCTTTTCTTTTCTTTTTTTTTTTAATGATGTGAGTATGTGTTTTTGGGTTGTGTAAAAATTTAAGGGAGGAGATTGTGGTGGAGCCTACCGAAAGGTTCGCCCGTAGGCTACTGATAACCGCCGGTGGAAACACGTGTTGGCTAGTGAGGTGGGTGTGATGAGGTGTTTTTTTTTTTTTCTCTTCTTTCGCCTAGATAACTCACAATCTAATTATTTTAAAAACTCATTTGAAATAGCTTGAGTATAAAGGTATATTATATTACTTAAACAATATTTACATTTAAGAGTTTCATAATATAATTTTTTTTATATATTTGTCTTTGTATTAAAAGTTATAAATTTTAAGTAAACTCGTTATAAAAAAAATGTGTAACATGCACAAAATTGTTGTATTTACAATAAAATACTTTTATCAAGACATGTAAACTATTTTTTGTGAAATTATTTTTAAAAATTCTATAAATTATTTTAACCTAATAATAAGTTATCATTCAAATATCGAATACTCAAATTATTAAATTTATCTTATAAAAAATAAATTTATCATGCATATTAATCCTACCTAAAAATATTTTAAAAATTATTTTGTATTTATATAACAATTTCAAGTAATCTTGAAATAATATGTAATTTATTTTTAATTTATCATGCAAAAACTAATAATAATCAACTAGGTCATGTAAAAATTTATTGAAATTTCAGTGTTAATGAATGAATTGTGAAATATGTTTTATGGGAGAAGGGTTGAATGATAGTATAATAAATTATTACTTAATTATAAATCAATATTTTATTTGTTTTTAAAATAATTATTTTAAAAATTAGTTATAATTTATTAATTAAAAAAAATTAAAAAAAAAAAAAACTTTTCATTTTCATTATCCCACGTCTCTGCGCAGTTGGATTCTTATTCCAAATTCTGGCTGGTCAATTTATCGTGGGAGCTTTTACGATTTTTTAGTAGTTTGGTTTTGTTGGTTCACCATAAAAAATAACCTCTAGAGTATTTACCCTCACAATTAAGATGTGTCTTTTGACCGGTCAAATTTTCATTAATATAATTATTAATTAATATTTATTATTGTTATTGGTGGTTTAAAGGAATATTTTAACTTAACAGTTGTGATAATGTTGTTAAGTATAGTGATGATTATGATTATTACTAGCAAACACGGCTGAATCATAACTAGTCAAAAAGCAAATTGTGCTACGTTTCATTCAATTTTCGCTTGCGTTTTCGGCTGGGCTCTTGTTCCTTTTCTACGCTCTGGTTCATCCCTTGATGGGACATATATCCATACTATTGTCCTTTTTATACAATTATTTATTATTATATAAATACTGTTATTTTATTATTGTGATTTTTCATGCTTATCTTACTGTTTAATAATGTGATGGGCTATTATTTATTGACTACCTATGGATTCAAACCTATGACGTTAAAATTGTCCATTTAATTTGTTGTCCCAATGTGGACGATGACTAACCAAACGTTCAATTTGATTGATACAAGTAGAAGGGGTGGAAAATTTTAGATGATAAAGTTATTGGAAAATGTTGTAACTAGCCACTTTCCCTTTTTGGGAATATATTCCATTTTGGTTTTTTTTTTTTTTTAAGTTTCCCATTCGGTTCAAATTTAAATGGCAAAATACACACAAATCATGCGGTACTATAATAATAATAATGTTATTATTATTATTATATATTACTACACATGTGCAAAATAAACAAAAGACGGAGACTGGTTTGACACGCACTAGAGATTCACACGGGACACCAACTCAAATCAACAAAGAGAGTTAATCTAAGCCCAAAATTTTCTTCCAAACACTGTATTGAGATTCCCTCATCATTCAAACTTTTAATTATAGTTTGAATAGTCATTACTACCAATCTAACATCTAATCTTGTAGGCTTTATAGATCTAACTTTTGCATTTTTCCACCTATATCATCTCTCAAATATAATCATCTTTTGTAAAAAAAAAAAAATCAAAGTTAAAAATTTCACAGTCGACAATATATATATATATATATATATATATATATATATAATTTTATTAGTTTAAAGTTTTGAATTAAAAATAATATCATATTTTTATATAAATCCATGATTAATTGATAAAAATAAATTCTGCCATGTTTTTTACCTATTCAACGAACCTTTTTCCTTTTCTTCACTTCTTTTTCTGTTTTCTATGTGATGATCACGAGTGGTAGCTTGGTCGGCATTTGCACATAATCACAACAGTTTGTAATCCTCATCATCCTCGAGCTTCTTTCGTTTCATACAACAACATGATTAGATTGTGGTTTGTCGCCAATGTTTTCTATTTGTTTTTATAAATGGAAAATTCTTGTCGTCGTCTAATATTTTTATTATTCAAATATTTGAAACATGAAAGCTATGTCAGTTTTATCATACCACGACAGTGCATCACCACCTTCGGTTCATACCACTTTTTTTGTTATGGATGTTAACATTTTCACACCCAAAGAAGTGTGTACACTAGTAAGAAAAATAAAAGAAAAAAGAAAAGAAATAAAAATCGCTAATAAAAGAGGAGAAGAGAAAATAAAACAATATGAAGTGCAAAGAAACATAAAATAAAAATGAAGTGTAAAAAAAACTCTGTTGTAATAACATTGCGTCCTTATTCAATCAGTATTCTTGAAATATTACTTCTTGTTTTGGTAGATATAGACATGTTAACATTCTCATAACTACAAATATAAATGCCAAAAATATCATGACTAAATTCTAAAGTTAAACACGCGTGTAATAAGAGAGAAGAATAATGCTATGTACTGTCTTGTAAATTTTCTTATATTAGTTTATTGTTTTAATATTTCCTTACACATTATTTGTAATATTGTTATAATTTTTATTCTAAATACTAGAGAAAGGAGATTAATTAAAAAATATTACTGACATCAACTATATTTGAATACATATTTATTTTATTTAGAGGCAATCTAAATAATGTTGAGGTTTATTTGAACTAACAAGTTTTTCATGTATTCATGAGTAATACAAATTTAAACAAAAAAAATTATGAAAATAGCATGATTTTATGAACAAATTACCAAAAAATTTAACTAAATTCAATACATGATATCTTTATTGATTTGATGTTTTAAAATTAAATATAAATGGATTAATATTCCAATACATTTAATATTCTAAATCTTTATAAGTATGATTCTATCTAATTTTTATTAGTTTGAAAAATCGTATTAACTTTATATTAATCCTATCTTCTTAATAATTTTGATTATTGTTAAAAAAAATTACCACCTTTAGAGTAATGATATATTTTTAGTGTTCTTGTTTTTTTCTATTAATTTTGAGTGCGTAATCTAATTAAGTAGTGAATTTATTATTATTCTATAAATAAAGTATTTGCATGCAATTTTTTTAATAATTTTTAATACATTATGAACAGTATTTTTTATTTTATTTTTACTTTTAAATATTACTCTTTATTTTGAATTCATTGAATTATTTTTAACATTATAAACTATTTTAATATATTGTTTTACTATATATATTTACACTTTTGTTCCAACCAAACAAAAGGATATATTTGTTTTACTTCTTTTTTTCTACATCAAGTAAACTGAAAAAAAGGGTCCATTTTTTAATTTGTTTTGTTCTTTATCTTATCTTTATTTCCACCTTTTTCCTAAACTGAAAATAACTTCAGAATTGATTGATAAAACAGTTATAGTATACAAATTACTCTGCAAAGGCATGTTTTTGGCATTAACATTGTAAATTTATGAAGTATAAAGATGAAAAACAATATATGATATTGATTTTAAGTTACAATTCTAATTTTACCATTTAAGTTTTTAAATATGACGTTTCATTCTATAATTTACTAAAATAATTTAAGAAAAAAAAAACAGATGCATCAATAGATATGTTCTTACTCAAACAAGAACATATATGTTTAGGTATTTATCAAACAGGTTTATTTTTTTAAGATGGTATACATTGAGAAAAATCTGAAAAATAAGTCACAAGTGATAAAAAGAATGAAGATACTTTTGAAATAAATAATATGTTTGTTG